GTGAGCTTCAAGACGAGTGAGAGACACTGCCTCAAAAAATAAGGCAGAGAGCAATTGAGAAAGACGCCTTATGTCAGCCTCTGACTTCCACGCGTAAATGTTCACCTGCACACGCATGCACACACACGCCGAGCAATCTTAAAATTATTAAAAACTGTATTTTCTTTACCTAAATACTGATTTCATTTGTCTCATCACTGGATTGTTCTGTGAGAAGTTGGAGCCATCGTATCAAGGCCATCCTGAATCCTTGGCTTTGAAGAGGCTGAGTGAGACTGGCAGGTTTGTGATAGTCTTTAAATATTTCTATTCATTACCTTTACTGTTTATGTATGAATGTATTGCCTGAATGTGTATAAGTGTACCCGTGTTGTGTGTTGCCCACAGAGGTCAGGAGAAGGCATCAAATCCCCTGGAACTGGAGTTACGAACAGTTGTTAGCCACCATGTGGGTACTGGGAATTGAACCCGTGTCCTCTGCTCTTAACTGCTGAGCCCATCTCTCCAGCCCCCTGATTATCTATTCTTTTTTTTTTATGTATATGAGTGTATTGCCTGCATGTATGTGAGTGCACCTGTGTCATGCAATGCCGCGGAGGTCAGAAGAGGGCGTCAGAGTCCCCTGGAACTGGAGTTAAGGATGGGGGTTTGGGATTTGTAGCTGCCATGTGGGTGCTAGGAATCAAACCCAGGTCCTCTGCAAGAGCAGCCAGTGCTCTTAACCGCTGAGCCATCTCTCCAGCCCCCTGATTATCTATTCTTATGTAGCTTTTATGGTATTCATTTATTTATTTTGTTATTTTATAAGATTTTGTGTGTGTGTGTGTGTGTGTGTGTGTCTGTCTGTCTGTCTGTCTATGTGTGTGTGTGTGTGTCTATATTTGTGTGAGTGTCCAAGGAGGCCAGAAGAAGGCATTAGATCCCTTGTAGCTGAAGTTAAAAGCATTTGTCAGATGTCTGACATGAGTACTCCAGTCCTCAAAAATTGAGCAGCAAGTGCTCTTAATTGCTGCGCTATCTCTCTAGTGCCTATTTTGTTTTAAAAGTATTTATATTGCATTTATTTTAGTGTATATGTATTCACATGTATACCAGAAGACAGTTTTGGGGAGTTGGTTCTCTCCTTCCACCATATGGTTCCTGAGGATTGAACTCAGGTAGTCAGCCTGGGTGGCAAGCACCTTAGCCTGCTGAGCCATCTCTTAGGCCCTTGTCATATCTCTGTAGTGAACTTTTTTTTTTTTTACATATTCTGCTATTTCCTGTCTGCCTGCTGCCCTGTTGAGTTTCACTTCTTCCAAACTCATTTTTTGGATCCAAACCTTAGGTTCCAAATCTTCAGTTTTCCATTGAACTTAATGGTCTCATGGACTTAGTGGCTCTGCTTAAACAATATAGTGCTGGTGTTTCAGTTTGATGGTGTAATATTCACATATGTCATTAGGTGGCAGCATATCACTACCTAGCAAATTGGATGAACATAAGCTCTCAGCTAAAAGAATGGAGACTGAATTACTATGGTTCTTTGTCCTTCCTCACTCCTTTTTCTACCTCCCTATCTTTGCTTTTTGTAAAGTAGCACTTAACATATTTGATAAATTGTCTGATTAATTATGTAATTTTTCTCCCTTAATGAATAGGTGGGCAGTATACCAAGAGTGATTTCAAGGAGTATGAGCAAGAACGGGATAAATCATCCAATTTGGTTCTGAAAGATAAAGTCAAGCCCAAACAGGAGTATCCTTAACATTGACCACCATTATGTGTAGAGTTCTGAATCCAGATCATTTGTGAAGAAAGTTTTATTGTAACTTTTCAATGTCTTTTATATATTTTGCTTTTTCATTATACCTTGTATTTTGGAGAAAGTTAAGTTTGAAAATCTTTGGCCTAAATCTTTTACCTCCCTACTCTTAGGTTAAATGCCTTCCTATTCACCTAGAGTTCTCAGATGGTCTTCAGGTAAACTTTTTATGTTTTTTATGCTAATGTTTTAAATTCCCCATTATCAAATATCCTTGTTTTAGTCATTCTCTTATATTTAATTTCCTTATCTAGATAACAAAATCCTGTACTTTATTATAGGATTAGGTGACATCTTTCTGCATAATATGTTATCATTCTAGCAACAAAAATTTGCTGGGCTCCCATTCAGTGCAAGAGTTAACTTTTATAGGATTAAAGAGGTCTGTTTCCAAGTCTTAGGTTGAGACAAGTAGAAAGCAGTGAAACATATCATTCATATTAGTCATTCTAATTTGTTCAGCTGAGTTTTCCCATTACAAATCTATCACTCCATGCATTGCAAAGATTAATTCTTCTGTGATCATTTCTAGTAAATGGTGCCTTTGTTTCCTAGTTTCTGTTGGTGTCTCAGAGGTTCTCTGTTTCTGTGTTATGTAGCTGTTTCTCCTTCAAGTATTCATCAAGGAAAGATGGGTATCAGGTTGACCTTTATTACATAGCCATACTTTAAAATGTGTTGACTGTCTGCGGTGCCCAAAGCATTGTGATGTGGTAGAGCTGAAGTCTGAAGGCTGCTGACAGCATCAGAAGAGGCTCTTACTTGCAGTTGGACCAGCAAGCTCAGCTTGGTCTCAGAAAGAGATATTAGAAGGCATGTGATTAAAAGCACATAATCATAAAAGGCAGAGATGAACACATGGAATTTTTACCTTCAGATCTTTGAAGATAAACTTAGGTTAACCAGTAGCAAGAGTGTGTAGTACAGAGAATGGAATTAGAACTATAAAGCATAAAGTAGACAGATGTCTATCATGGAAGTACTTCTGGCTAAAAGGAAGGAATGTGTAATGTCAAATGTTTTTACATTTGTAGCACAAAAGTTTTAAATGCAAGAGGATAGATCACTAAGAGTTAGAGGAAACTAGGCATATTTGAGACTAAATCTCTGGTCTATTGCTATTCAAGAGAGCGTTCTGCAGTAGTGGAAGTGCAGCATCTCCATCGTGCAGTGTGGCTACTACATGTGGCTAGTGATCATGGAAGATGAACTAAGAAACTGAGTTTTAAATTTTGTTTAATTTTTCCAGGTGTGGTGGCACACACCTTTAATCCCAGCACTTGGGAGGCAGAGACAGGCAGATCTCTGTGAGTTTAAGGCCACCCTGGTCTACAGAGCAAGTTCCAGGCCAGCTGGGGCTACTGGGAGACACTGTCTGAAAA